AGGAAGTAAAGTATTGCCTTAGTTAATCCCTCATTTTCATTTATGGTAAAGTAGTAAGACATTAATATGAATATTCATTGCCATTTCATGTGGTGCCTGCCCTGAGAAAAAACAAACATTTAAAAGCCTTTACAACTGAAGCAAAATTAAGGGAAGGGACTTTTTTTTTTACTGTTTTAGAGTTTAGAAGTGATATTATTTTTCTAAATTGCATTCATATTTTTATATTATATATGTAAATGGTTTCTTACAATACTTAAAACTCAGCTCATCTTATATTATCTTTGGAACATATGAACTTTTGAGAGCCAATTACAACACAAATGGCATGCATAATCTTCACAGCTGTGACTACTCTGTCACTAAGTATAGTGCTGGTGTGAAGATTCATGACATTACTATAGAAATGTATGTGGTAAAATGTTTTTACTATTGTACCCAAAGCCCTATATTGTCATTCCTGATGTTTATGCTAGTAGTCTCTGTGACTGCCAACATTAAACTCATATTTAAGACTACGTGTTTTAATTAATGTTGCAGATGATATTATGTTTAAATGTTATAACAATATTAAAATTATTTGTCCTGGTATCTAATATTTAAGTTAGTATTTCTATGAAACACTTGACAAAACACATTTGGTATTCTAGGAATGATATATAAAAAGGAAAAACAATTATGTATTCCTTTGGAATGTCTAAATATTGAAAATGGTACGACTGCCATTCAGTGGGAGTCCAGATTCCAATGGAAGGAAAATTGTCATCAGGTAAGTTTCATCATATCTGTAGCTCCCAATGTAGATAAGTTTTTGGATTACTGTTGACATATTGTAGATTCTCATAATACGCACAATATTGTATATTGGTTTGTTACTATTTAATAAATCTAATTACTATCCATTAAGTAAAAAGATTTACTATAAAAATTGCATTCAGGAATATAAAAAGTACAAAATCAAAAGGCAAAATGTATGAAAATATAAAAGACTAGGTGCAGACAGAAATTTTGAGCAGTTTGCACAGTTTGTTCTAGGGATTAAGGACCAAGTTAGACAGCAGGAAACTCTGAATTCAAGTCCTGCTTTAACCATGAAAGCCAACTGGATGACTTTGACCAGTTACCATCTCTCTCAGCCCTGTCCACATCATAGTTGTTGTTTAGAGGTGGTATTCAGCAGGTTCTGACCAGTTCTGGAGAACCAGTAATGGAAATTTTGAGTAGTTTGGAGAACCGGTAAAAACTACTTCTGACTGGCCCGGCTCCCATCTATTCTCTGTCTCCTGAGTCCCAGCTGATTGGGAGGGAATGGGGTTTTGCAGTAACCTTCCCCTAGAGTGGGGAGGGAATGGGGATTTTACAGTATCCTTCGCCTGCCATGCCCACCAAGCCACTACAGAGAACAGATAGTAAATTTTTTGAATCCCACCACTGTTGTTGTTGTGTACAAAATAGGAAGTGGAAAGTGTGTTGGATATTTTCACTGCTAAATTATTTTTAAGGATAATAAAGATATAGAAATAATCAATTGAAATAAAATAAAAAATATTAATAGTTCTAAATACATTATTCTATACATTATTGTGCTTTAATACAGCATAACAAGTGGACTCTTCCAGATTACTGAAATTTTCCAAAACAATAAACTCTAAAGGGGTTAGGGTTAGGAATACAAGTAGATGCTTGACACTATAGAAGTAAGGAATTATTTTATAACTAGATGTAACTAGAAAAAACAGGTTTTTTTCTCTCACTTTGCTATGTTATTTGACTTATTCAATTGAAAAATATGAGTTTTTTAGTGAAATGATTTATCCATAAACAGTATACAGGAATTTTATTTAGCTCTCTTAGAGTGTTTGCATTTAAATTATAGTGTACACCATTAGAATTTCTGGCTATCTATAGATTCAGTATGTGTAGAAATATCTCTTTTAATCCCCATAGCTGGGTTTGAAGATCAATATGAATAAATTCTCTCTATAAAATGTATATATAGATTTGTCTTATGTCATCCAAGTTTTTTTTAAAAAAATATTTAGAATGTATATACCAAAGCATAGAATAAGATTCAAATATATTATTCTATTTATTCATATCATATGATCAATTAAAACATTTTTTTGGAAACTAAGGGTTTCAACTGAGCTTTCTGAAATGTATTGCTCTGAATCTGGCTTAGAGGGTCCAGATATTCAGTTCTTTCCAGCAATTCAGCAACAATATTAAAAGAAATCGTAATCAGATTCACTAGATGTTTATGTAATATCCATTTGTCACATTTGATTGCAGAAAAGACAGAAAAGTCATCTGTAACAATATCAGGATGCAGTATCCCAACTCATGCCTATCCTCTCTCTTTTCAATTTACTATAGCTTCTGGACAAGTATAAGGGCACATTATCATAATCCTATCTTTAGGTTATCAGTATATAACTAGCTGTTGTCAATTACATATTAGTTTCAGCTGCTAGTAGGTACTCCTGACTGCAGAAGTGATGTAGATTTCCAGAAGCTCCAGACTTTAGGGATACAGAGCAAGTAACACCCTGAGATCCTAAACTCCGAAATCTCTCTCACCTGTTGCTTACTTGCTCTCAACCAATCTACCACTGCATTCAAGTACCAATTGACATCATATCTAAAATTTTCCTCATATAACAACAATTTATATACAATTTTCAAATGGTCTTCAAATATATCTTGCTGAATAATAAATATTTACTAACCATAAGGTAGATTTATATATTTATACACACACACACACACACACACACACACACAAACACCCCCCCCCACACACACATACAAACATACACTAACAGGCATTCAGAATGAGAGATAGCTAGTACTTTTATTNCTTCTTCTTCTTCTTCTTCTTCTTCTTCTTCTTCTTCTTCTTCTTCTTCTTCTTCTTCTTCTCCTTCCTTCCTTCCTTCCTCCTTCCTCCTTCTTCTTCCTCCTCCTCCTTGTCTTCTTCTTCCTCCTTCCCCTTCCCTTCCCTTTCTCCTTCTCAGTTTCTATTCAATTTCATTGTACACATGTTGTGCATTGACAATAAAGATTTTATTTCTCCTCCTCCTCCCACCATCCCACACACCCCCACCCTCATCATCATGATCATTTCCTCCTCCTCCTCCTCCTCCTCCTCCTCCTCCTAATCACAATAAACTAGAGCTGGTCCTTCTGGTTGTATATCTTCTCTGGACTTGCAGGGCTGTGACATCCCTCTTACACCCTTGAGATGTTTGCCACACCCATATTCTTGCTGCCTCTTACCCATCTGTTGTCTTGGCTGCACCTCTTCCTCCCCTCTCCCAAGGTCGCTCTCACATACCATTACAACATTTCACTCTCGTGGGCCAACCTCAGTCTTTCAAAACTCGGATCCTCTCTGGAGAAGTGGACTTCCATCCCCACACTTCCCGAAAAGCACAATGAGACGTCTGGAAGTTCACATGAAGGGTGCCTGTCAGTGGTGGGATTCAAATTTTTTTACTACTGGTTCTGTGGGCGTGGTTTGGTGGGTGTGGCATGGCTTGGTGGGTGTGGCTTGTCTGGGGAAGGATACTGCAAAATCCCCATTTCCTCCTGATCAGCTGAGGGCGGGGCCAGCCAGAGATGAATAGATGGGGGCAGGGCCAGCCAGAGGTGGCATTTGCCGGTTCTCCAAACTACTCAAAATTTCTGCTACTGGTTCTCCAGAACCTGTCAGAACCTGCTGAATGCCGCCTCTGGTGTCTGTGATGAGGACGAGAGGCCCACATCTTGAAAAATCCTCAGTGTTTGCAACAATTATGCTTCAGAAGCACTTTCTGACCCATTCTACCTTCGCAGCGAGAGCTTCCTAATCAACGGCTCCTACTGATTCCAATCAAAATGTGCTCCGTAACCATTCTTTTGTTATTATTTTTCCTAGTAAGGGAAAAAGGAAGGCGAGAAAGAGCAAGAGAGTACAGGAGAGATGCACTTCAGCCTCCGGACATCTGTAAAATGATAATAAAAGTAGGAGGACAGAGTGATTAAAAATATACTCGTTCTAGTAGCCACCAGCCCTATTAAATTTTATCCCCGTAACACTTGGAAACCTCTTCTCGGTAGAGAAGTGTGAAACTTTGCCAGCCTCATCTCTCCGCGCATGGGATTTATTTCTCCATTAGTCCAAATATACCAATGGTGCAGAAGGTTTTTATCCCTTTCCTTCTCAGCTGAGATGTACTACCTGGGTTTTTAAACTTGGCAACTTTAAGATGTGTGGACTTCAACTCTCAGGATTCCTGGCCTTTCAGAAATGCTGCACTACACAAAGAAAGCAAGCGAATAGATATTTTGGTGTAAATCTGGTTGGCCATCTGCGCGTGTCAGGCACGGACTGCACATCAGGTGCGTGCTATTCATTGTAAATTGTCCTGCGCGCATGTGCAGTACAATTTACAGTGAGCTGCACAAGCGCAGTCACTGAAATCCAAAATGGCAGCGGCCCAGCGGAGGCGAGGGAATTGGTTCGGGGGGCCATGGCAGGCCTGGGTCGCTACTGCTTCTGCGATCCAGACCTAACTTCCACTACGAGTTCAGCCAAACTGGGCCGAACTGGCAGGAACCCACCTCTGATCCACATGCTTGTTGTGACCTGCCAGCAGAGCTGGTGGCAGATTCAGGCAGTGAGGAGGTTGGGGAGGAAGATGGGCCAATCCTGGAGTCTGGGGAAGGCTTGAATGAGGGCTCTGCNTAAGCGGCGGAGAGGGGGCGGGGCTGGGCTGAGTTGGTCCAACCTATCGTCTCCTCCTCCCCCCCCTTTGTGTTGGGGGGGGCGGGGGGGGGACAGCGGGGTTTGCTAATCGGCGAAGCCGCCGGAGCTCCGGGAGTGGATGGAGCCGGCGGTTCCCGTCTCTCGGCGGCTGCTGCGAGCGAGCGAAGGGAGCGGAAGGCAAGGGGGAGACGGGAACGTCAACTGACGCCCCCGCACGGAGCCCTCCGTCCCCCCCTTCGCCTGAAAGACCGGGGAACTCGGAGAGGGAAGGCGGGGATAAAAGCCAGCCGGCTCCGGAGGGGAATTGCGGGCACAGCGGCGGATTTTGATCGGGGAAGTAACTTTTGGGCGACCTCGGATTCCGGCTCGGGAGAAACTTCCTCGGCGCCCCCTCGGAGCTCGGGGCCGCGCGCCGGAGCCAGACCCGCCTCCTCACACCTCGGGAGCGAAGGGAGCGAACGGCCGGCTGGCGTCGTCCCGGCGAGGAGAGCCAAGTCGCGGAGGCCATGCGGGCGCCGCGACCCCGGAGCTGAGGAGGAGCCGTCCGCGTCCTTTGGGGGCTTCTCCTGCGCCGCAGCCGCAGCCGGAGAACGACTGACGCAAAGCGAGAGAGCGAGCGGGGTTTTACACGGAACAAGCATGAAGCCGCTACGGAGCCTCCTTTCCTGGGTGAGCCTGCTGGCCCTCAGCCGGACCGTCTGCCTCAGCGCTTCTCAGTCAGGTGCGACCCTCCTTCCTTCCTTCCTTGCTGGGAAAGGTGGCGGGAGGTTGCGGTTCCCAGGATTCCTCCGCCTCAAGGAGCCCCTTTTGATTCTGAGGGAAAAAGACCCTCGGACGAGGCGAGAGACGCGGGAGAGGCAGCTGGGCGCCCTCAGTTGCCCTCTGGTGCCGGGGTCGCCTTTGGGCTGCGTGAGGCGCCCAGGAGTTGTTGGCGTTCGTGAAGGCGGGAAGGGGAAAGTCCGGGCGCTCCGGTCCTTTTGCGGGGCTCCGCTGGCGCCAGTCTGGCGAGGGGCGTTTGGCGGCGGCGGCGGAGGCGGCCTCTGGCCTCCCGTCCCTTCGGCACCTGTAGCCGGAGCCCGAACCAGGCGTGTGGCGCCCGAGCGGTTGTCTGAGCGCGGAGGAGCCGGGGAAGGCCAGCTGGGTTGGGATGACAGGTGTGGGGAAGGGGGGGAGAAGGGAGGCAGGGGGGCGCGAGCCCAACTTCGCCGCTTGCGGGAAACTTGAGCATCGGCCTCAACCTTCTTCTCCCCACAGAGCAGCAGCCATTGCAGGGCTGAACTTTAAGGATCGGGCCCACGTCTCCTCCTCCTCCACCTGACAAGCGGAGACCTACAAGTCCCGCCGTTGAATACAAGCCTGGGTTTTCTCCCCCCCCCCTTCTCCCCCCCCCTCCGCCTCTGCCAACTGGGCTGCCTTTCTCCTCCTGGGCTGAATGGGCGACGGCGGCGGCGAGGAAGACCGAGCGTGGCTCCTTCTCTTCTTCCCTCGGCGCTGAATAAATCTGCCTGCTCCCCTTCGGAGGGGCCGCTCCTTGCCGGCTCCTTCTCCCCTGGACTCCTCGAGGGCCAGCTGGGAAGGTTGGCTGGCCAAGCGTGTCCTGAGCGCCGGTGCGAGGGGTCAGTAGCGCTTAGATGTGGTTTGGCCAGAATCCCGGGTGGCCGAAGGTTTTGCATTCCCTCGCTGGGACTAGTCGGAGTAGCGTGGTCGGGACGTTTTCTTCCCAGGCTGATCTTAATCGGGCTCTCGTATAAGTAATGGGTCGGGCGGATTTCACTGCGGTCTCCTTCCCCTTAAGGCGGTTTTAACCGATTGCCTCAACGGACCACGCAGGAATCCAGGGCTTCAGATATCGTGTGTACAGCATGCGTGCAAAGCCAGCGGCCAGAGAGTTTTCTCCATTCTTGGCCTGAGTGTTGTTGTGGTCAAAGACACTCTTCCCTGTTGTGTGTCCCAACTTGTTGGCCAATTACTTGTGTCTCAAAAGGAGTACAGGGTGCTATCCCGTCCCCCCGTTTCCATCTTAGCTTTGTCTTCGCCACTTTTAATTGTCTTCTCACTGTTTTCAGTGCCAGAAGGATGGCTGGCTCCTCTCTGCCCCTACAACAGTGGAGGCCACAGTGAATGGGCATTTCAGAGACAGCTTAGATATGTTATGCATTTTGGCCAAAGCAATCCTAGAATTCACTTAAACTTTCTGAAGTCAGCAGGGCTTGCCTTGTCTAAATAAAATTGGAGCACTTATTTATTGACATTTTTGCTCAAAGTGTACAGCCCCATGATTTTATGGCACTGACATACATTATGGTGATCAGTTGGCTTATATTTTAGGCAAAGAGGTGACTCTGGGATTAAACACTAAAATATATGGACACCTCTGTAAGAAAAGTTATTTATGTGTGTGATAATGAGAATGTGTAAGGAGGAGGAGGAGATACGTAACTATGAAGATGTGCATTGTACACATAGGCTGCATCAAATTCTTATTGTACTAAATGAAACAAACAAAAACAAATTGTTGGCGTTTGTGTACTTGTGCTATGAGCAGAACAAATGAAAACCAACATCACTTACATATTTCATAAGTTCTCTTGTATATGCCCCACTGAAATGAGAAGTCCTTTTACATTTTCCTTTCCTTTCAGTTGCTCTTTAACAAAAAACTTTCACAGTGGATTGAGCACTTCATAACCAGAACTCACATAACAACCAAGTGCCTGTTTCAGTTGGGCTGCCTGTGAAGGACTAATCTTGTGACAGATCTATGCAAAGAATTTATCTTTCTCTCTCTCCCCACCACTTCCCTTCAGCCAGTGGCAGTTTAGAAGAGTTTGTTTTGGTCCAAATGAGAAATTAAGTGTGGATAAGTAAACTGAGCTGCCAGAGGGCGACAAGATGTTGAATGAATTGCTTTTAGATGATACAAATTAAGGAAATGAGGGAAGACAATCTGCTTCTTGCATTATTAGACACAGCTTACAGTTGGCGGGGAGGGAAAAGTTGCATATTTTTGAAATGTAAATTTCTGGAGAAATGGGAGAATGCACCTTATTTACTGCTCTATGTCAATTGTATAGAAGAACAATCCATTTTTTTGTTCTGGTACAGTAGGAAAAACAATCGAGGAAACAATTTTTGTTCTTTGTAGAAAGAAAGCAGAAAATATTTATATAATTGTTTCTTCCCTTTATTGCTTGATTTATGTGTGGACAACTCAGACTCTTTAAAATTTTATTCAGAAGGAATCTTGAGACGTTTTGTTATTGTCAGTCTGGTTCAAGAAAGCAGTTGCATGGATTATTTAAATATGAATAATTGTTTACATATTTGCTCCAGGAAATTTGATAAATAAATAACCGAAGAAAGAAAACGTGTTGTATTGGGCCAGAAATGGCCGGTGGCAGAATCTTGCTTACTGCAAAATCAGGTTTCATGAATCCAGTGAAAAACATAATTTCATCTGATTTAATGGAAATACCTTGTTACAGCCTGGTAAATGTATAGGCAAATCCTACATAATATTTTTTTGTCTGATTAAATTGAGGATAAATGTAAGAAAATAGATCTTGTTTATACCTAAAATTCCCATTACTTGATTCTTCTCCATAGCACCATCCTTTTATATTAGTACCATCGTGACTTACCACATACAAAACAAACCTCTTTCAAAATGTGTAGTTGGACGTTGCTTAGATTTGACCGAGCATTCAAATCCATGCATATTGCATTGCGTTGTTTAATTTGGATGTCTATTGAGCATTCAGGCAGGCCACTTGTCCCCCTTTCATTTTTAAGATGCCACCAAACATTGTTGAGGAAGCAGATAAAACTGGGAATCTGAGTGCATGTGAGCCACGTAATGATGTTGCAGCTGAGAACAAAAAAATAGACTTACTAAAACTCTATTTACATGTAAAGCAGCTGCCAACAAACTGACAAGTTGATCAGATCCCACATTTAAAACATTTTCCATGTTATATTTACATATATTTGTAGTTCTCAAGATCTTGGATTGTATTGGTCCATTGCATAGAAAAAAATATTTTTTACCGGTACTATTATATTTCCCAAAATGATCAAATAAGATTTTAAACCTGATTTAATTAAAGATAAATGTGTGGATTTGAATATATTCTCATAGACAATGATGTTAAAAAGTTTAGCAAATATAAGTTTTTTAAAAATTGATATTTTATATTCTTACAACAATTGTTTTAGGGAATATCTTTTAGGCTTGTGCTATTTTCCTTTTGAAAATGATATTGGCTGTTTGCTTTCTGTTTCATAAATTGTATTTTGGTCCCTTGTCTATTTTTAAACTGCTGTTTTCTTTGTATTGCCTTCTGTTATGGTTTTCTATTGGTAGTTCCAGGATATTAATAATTCTACTTATTTTTACGCAAGCCTTTCTTCTCTGGTAGCCATGGCTGAAATATCATTTCTTATTCTGTCTGGGATTTTTTCCCCTTTGTTCTCTCCTTGCCAGCTAGCCTCCCTTCCCCTTCTCCTCCTTATTGACACTCTGTATTTCTTGGCTCTTCTATTACTTTTTTCCTTTCCCTTTTCCTGCCACATCCCCCCCCCCCCATTATTACTTTGTTACTTACCATTGTTTTTACTGTGTGGTTAGTTAATCACCTCGATCCGTAGCTCATTGAAATAGAGCACTTGCACTTAAATAGTGCTGTCCTGTTTATTTAGAAGTCATTTGTATGTCATAATTTCAGAGTCAAGGTGTAACATTACTGTGCTAGACGTTTACAATTTGAAAAGATTCTAAGGAATAATTTGAAAAAAACAAATAGGGGTGACTCACTAGGATCTACTGATGTCTGACTGCCTTAGTTTCATAGCTCCAGTCCCACTGACCATATCATTTCAAACCGAAGCCTTTCAGTTTAACTTGACTGTGGATTACTTCCTGAGCCACTTTCTATTCAGCCCTGTGTGACAGAGCTAGCTGAATGGACAATCACTATTCCACCACCCAGATTTATTCCTGAAAGAAAATAACATGGCATTGATCCAAGGTCAGCTGCTCTTTTAAAACATTGACTCCCAAGGCTGAATTGGTCCTTAAAGGGATGCTTATGCCTCCCTCGGGTACCATCCCTTACAATCTCTCTTCAGTGGGGAAGGAAGAAAGCAGCTCTCTCTAATGGAAGAGTAAAACAAGAATTGTTTTAATTGTTTACAGCTACTGGTCCATTGTTTACTTATTATCTCATGATGGATGTATTCCCTGAAGAGTTCAGTGTATTATGCTACAATCTACAACACGCGGTTGCTCTGTAGGGCTTCTAAGGCAGCTTCATATATTTCAATGAGAGTTTAGTAAAGTGCTCCCAAGTGGGTGGTTGAGAGCCTCCAGCTCAAACCACCACATGGACTGAGATTGCATATGCGTGTCTCTTAACACATTTAAGAGAAATCAATATATGGGCCACCTAGTGTAATGGGGCCTCTGTTGAGTTAAATATTTGTTTCGGATCCAAAATCCAAGGAGCTCCAAATTAAAAATCAATAATTCTGTCTTGTTAATAAGGATAATCACAATTATTAGCCACTTACTTACAGTACTCTGATGAGTGGAATCTGGCATGAATGAATGAATGGATGCAGTAACAAATTGCTGTTTATCCATAATGAACGGACAGTTATAAGAGTATGTTAAAGGAACCTTTACATTTGACTCATTGCTCACTAATCATAACTGAACATATA